TCAAATTCTTTTATTTGTTTCTGAGATTAAAGGCCTATTGCACTGAGTGGAATAGATGCCTACCTGAGTGTAATAGAGGCATGCAACAGCCGCACAAACAAGGTGACTATGCAAACCAAGAGACATTATTTTGACATTTGTTTAAAATGTAATTGCTATATCTAATTTTTAACTCAATTATTTTTCTAATGGAACATCCCTTCAAAAATAATAGAACTGTCCATGTATATATAAATTGGCTTAATTTTCTTCATTAGGTAAGAGTCATGCATAAGACCTACATTAAATGATTTTTTAATTATTTTGGGTCTGCACCATTTTCAGTGAGGTGAATCGAAGGACTACTATTGACAATATAACTCTTAATATGGAATGGGGAGCCATTTCTATAATAAGTAATGAGACTTTTTTTTTAACTCGCTGCCCGCCAATAAATAATGATTTTAAATAAAAGAAAATTTTATCTTTTGCCAATTAGCGCACCCACAGCCACAAAAAAAATTGGAAATTTCAGAACAAAATTAAAGTTTATATTTATTTTTATTACACCTGCAAAAAATAAGATATGTATATTTCTTCCTGTTTAAAGCATATTACCATCCCATAATACTACATTGTTTAAATTCACCACTAAAATTTTTTATTTTATTTTCTCCTCCGCCTGGATGTTTTTGGTCAAAGTATTTGCTAAATCGGTAAAAAAAAAAATATCCTCAGACCAGGGATAACAACTCCCTGCTCAGATGATCTTTAAAAAAATAAATAAATTTGCGAAACATGGTATAAAAAAGTCTTGCCTTCCCGTATATGTCTACGATTACCCTCCACAAACTCAAAAGTCTCATTGAACACCTTAAAGCTATTGAAAATCTTTGGTGCATACTCAAAGCTTTAATCTATTTCACTTACTTTTATGGTGATTCGATTGAAAGGCTTATCAATAAATTACTATAATGGCAATATACTTGGCAATCTCTCATGGCAATGTACATATAACAAGAAAGTCTGAAAATAGGTTATCTTGTTCTAGGCCAGTGGACTATCCACTCTCATGCGGCGGTCCGCAGGGCCCCCAACCCCTAGAGGCCCCGAAGGTGCGCTACCCATAGGTTCTTCGATCTAGCACCCTGAACAAAAAGGACTTCAAATACTGTATCTTATTCATGTATAAAAGTAGTAGTACGATAGTTTTTTTTTATGAATGCTGCAGAGAAAGGTGTTGCAAAATAAATAATAATAATAAATATTAGGTAGAAAATAAAAAATGCCTGCTCTTTGTATGCTTGAATAAAAATGTTTATGTGAATAAATAATTGCTTTAAATGCAACCTAAATTTATCTGAGAAAGTTTGCTTTAATAACATTTAACAACATTTCCATATTTCATAGGTAAATCTTGTGCTCAGTGGCGGATCTAGGAATTCAAAATAGAGGGGGGCCCAGGAAGGTACAGTACTTTCACAGATGGGGGTTCTATACCTCCATCTGAAAAATGAATAAAAATTTGTGATTATGGCCGGAAATTGCACTCTAAAGACTTTGAATATAATTTTCTTTATATCTCCATTTAAAAAAATTGTGCACAGTTCAGGCGAGGCTCGGGCTGACTTCGCACCCCGTGAATCCGTCACTGGTGCTTGTGTGTTGATAAAAAGTTGATAACATTATTATACAAAGTTGGAAATATCATGAAAAGCAATTATGTATATAATATTTAAGTGTATTTATTATCTTTATTACCATGGGATGGTAGCTGTCATGGAAACTGCATCCGAGTTAAAATGTGAATGAAAATAAAGCGTATCTGTATCTGTATCTGCCGTGCTAACATGTATCCAATATAGTGTCTTTAGATATTATTCACGTATTTCATCAAATTTAGATGAACACTCCAAGCTCACTGTACAAGCTTGAACCCACAGGCTTATACATTCACCTCAACTTCGACTGAATTAACTGAATATCTCCTTGCAAAATCTTCTCTGCACAGCGGCTAAATTACACTATTAAAAGTGATGCAGACATCTATTAACATAATGCAGGTATAAGTGAAGCAATCTTTTTCATTTAGTCATTATGAAATTAGTGCATTTTTTTTTTGCTATGTCACATACCAATTACAATTATCAAAATGTTCACATGTTACAGGAGTAGGCCTACTTTTTTTTTCTGTCATAGCCGGGCAAAGTCATGTTGATAACATCAAGGAAAGCTTGCAGTAAGTTTACATCAATTGTGCTTGGTTATTGTCGATGAAACACATATCTGCATAGTTGCTGCAGCAGATCAGAAACTACAATTTTTCAAACATAATCAAAATTTTTTAAGCGTTTTTTTAAAGCTTTGGTGACACCAGAGATTCTGCGACGAGGAATTTATCGTCACAGACAGGGGGTAGATGCCAACCTCAGCCCCACCACTGTTAGTATGTGAGTACATGAGCATCCAGATTTTACTGACGGGGGCTGGGGGTGTCATGTGTTCGATGAATCCTGTTCTCCCACTGGCACTGAAAGTGTTTAAAAGCTAAGAAGGTTAAGCTGCCTAACGGTTAAACACGATCTAATGACAATATTAACAAGATTGTCAATTCTATCGACTAATTTGATTGGTTGACACTGTAATTATCTGCATTAGCAACCCTAGGCTCTGATCCAAAGTCACTGTACTCTTTAATTTAATATTACATTGATTGATATTGATAAATTTTATTCATCTACGCTTTATGTAGAAATAATAATTATTACAAGGAAAATATGATATGCTCCACAATTGTTTAAAATTCAAGTCATCAACATTTATCTACTTTAATATTAATTATCTTCATTATTATATAGTAGTAGTTATCAAAGTGTTGCATTTATTTTTGTCTACAATGGAATTTATTCTACATTTATTTATAAATTTAAAACACTATCAATGTTAATTAATCCTAATAATTATCCTCTTTAATATTATCAAATTATTATGAAATATTATTAACAGTCTCTGAATTTCACTCTGAGACCATCCCCTTGGTCTAGTTCATCCTATTTTCTATAGCTATTTTTTAATCAATGTTAGAGGAAATGGAGTATTTATCTAGCCAATGGCTAAACATCACTACTTACTGCAGTGCCTAAGTAGGCGTATCATCTGCAATTTTACATAATTACAATACAAACTTTGAGCATGTAGTGATGATGTTATTAATATCTGTGTGTTGAACCATGGAGAACTGTCCTTATGTGTTTCCCCCTGGTTTCTCCATGGATTCTAACCACTGAAATATTTGTCCAGCTATGTTCAAGAGCCCTTATGTCGGGAAGTGGATTGGAATTTGTGCTTTTAGCAGCAGGAAGTTCTAGAAAATTACTTTATTTGTTCATTTGATAAACCTTTAATTCTAGAATAGGCCTATAAATAGACCTTCTCTTTGATGAATCCTGTATTTCAGATTGTTGCTTTAAGAGGGGAGAGTATTATTAATTATTGCATGTTTATAGGCCATGATTCCAGTAAATGCTTGACACTTGTATGATTTCATTCATGAGTCATAGATCGTATACTATAAATGATTTGTGATTGACTGTAGTAAACTTTATGGTTTATACGCTGGTACTTTTATGCCAGAGTTCCAGTTTTTTGTACATTACATTATATGTTAGAATTTAATAATTTTTGTCTTGTTTCCATAGAATCGCTTCACAGTCACTACAGTGTTTTCATTGCAATCCTTGCACTGCGTAGCAGGCCTACTTGGTTTACATTGTAAGTGATAGTCGCTTGGGGAGGGTGGGGGTGGTTACAGTTTTTCCTCTGAATATTTTCTTTTTCAGTTAAAGGAATACAGAATTGTGATTTTTGAAATAGCAGGGTGTGGGTGGGGTACGGGGAAAAAAGATTTTGCTAATGATCATGAAAATGCTGTGCAAACGAATAGGTATTGATGCAATGTCTAGGGAAGAAGACTATTTTCTGAACATTTCATTTGACTAAAATCTTCCTTTATTTTAATTCAACAAGATCTTGCAGAGGCATTACTAAATGAAAGTGCCAACAGGATCTTGTAATCAACCAATCATGAAGCAGCAACGACACCCCACCTTGTGGTTGGTATGGATGATGGTAATAGCAGATAATACTGTGATATCAATCTTCCACAAAAGATATCGATATCCTTAATTAATGTAATGAGATTGGTCATTGTGAATAAAAAAGATAGGCCTGTCTGTCAGGCTATTAGACTTTAACAAGAAATATTTGATTGCCTACTTTGCATATTCAAGTCATTATCTTTCAATTGGAAATTAGAATGAATAGAAATTAAATAATACCATTTCCTATTATCATTGCATGTACTGGTTGAATGTAAATTCACATACTAGATTCTAAATTTCAGTTTCATTTTTTTAAAGCTCAGCACTGTATATTCTTCATGTATTCCTCTGTGGTATACCGAATGTTAAACAAAGCATTTATTGACTTCGTTTTGCCGATAAACATTTTCTAAAATAATGATTGATGCTGTTGTTTTGCCTGTCACGTTTTTTAAATTTTTTTATTTTATTAAGAATGTTAAAAAATTAGAGCCTTACCAAAATGAGTACAATGTAACATGGAGGAAATAAATTGAATTTTTAATGCATTGCTAATGTAATTCTAGCCTTTATTGTACTATAATGTGTGAGAGGGCCTTAATTTTGTGACTGCCTCTCTGACACCTTCCAACTAATTATACCTGTTGAAATTTGCAGTGGCATATGTCGGAGACTTGAAACGGGGGGAGCTTATGGGGGGAGGGAGCGGAAGTGGAGTGGGGACTCGATAAAGGAGGAGCTGGGTCGCAAAATACAGTGATATGAGGTGGTTTTTTTTCACTGCTTGAGCTTGATTTTTTGGCTTTGGACATTTTCAATGTGTGTGGGGGGGGGGGAACTGCGCACCCCTTTGATATGCCACTGGAACCTTGAAGCAAGTATAGACGAGACTAAAAGGCAAGCCAACAATAACTGCATAACTCTGATCCGTAAGATTTTATTTAGATCACAATTTTTTTAAAGATTGCATTTTGAATAATCTAAACAAGAGGAAAAAATGACAATGCATACAACACTCTCCAATAAAGGTAATATAGTAATAATTAGCTAATAACAATTCATATATCGTAATTGTGCTGTAAATTTTTAACAATGAATTCAAGTTAATTCATCAGGTTCCTGATGACAAAACAAGCAAGTGAAATTGCTTACTTAGTAATAGTTGACATTAAATGATCGTAAATATTTGTTGCTGCTGCTGATGGCTGGTACAGTAAAACCTTAAGTTGCAAACAATTTTCTTGCAATAACTCTACAGTTCATTGTAAAGTCCTCTATCGAATTTTATTTGACAAAAACATGTGACATGCCTAAATATTGTCATGTTGACAAATCATGACCATATATAGGCACATCATGACTATATATGGGCACATCATGTCTATATATGGGCATACAACAGATTTTTGTCAAAGAAAATTTGATAGTATGGACAGAGCTTTAGATTTTATTTGCAAGGCTCAACATGTTTATCCAGACTTTATCCGATAGTCTCGGCTTGTTTCAAATAAATCTGATCAGACAAAGCATGCATATCAAACACATTGTAGAGTCGGACAGATGGATAATCCGAAAAGCCTGGCTTGTATAACATGCAGTAGTTATTATCTAATGCATTTTTATTGAAATTGTTCCTACAATGGTCAGACTTTGTCAACTGAATTTTCTGAGTTTTTTTTTAAACTGTTCAAACAATTCTAGAACTATTTCTGAATACCATCCACCACCTCCGACTAAAACTGTTAGCAATTGTGAGCAGAAAAACTGCTGCGAATACTAGGATTATACAGTAGTTAACAAAATGTTGCTTTGGTTTTTTTTTTTGTTATTTTCCCAAAATTGTCCCAAACAAATCTAATAAAAACTGTCAGCTATCCCATAATACTGCACTCTCAAACACTTCTTTAAAAAAAATAAAATAAATAAAGGCCAAATAAAAAAATTAAAATGTTTCTCATCTATGTTTTTTTTAAAGAGAAAATGAGGCCCTTTGTCCCTTTTTCACAAAAAATGACCACCAAACATGACAGGGGTCCAAATCTCCAGCAAGTTGCTGGACTTTCGTATGAGCAAGCAAAAGACTGCTGGAAATTAACTCATCCGGGCTGCGTATTCATGATGTTGTTTTGCAAGTTTTTGCTACTGTCAACTGTCTCCCCTGATATGAGCTAGCGATCAGTCACCGCGTACAGCAACATTAAAATAACTCATTACAAGCAGATCCCGAGGAAATAGCCCTTGTCCCAACTTAGAACCCTGACCTGACCGTATCTAGGTCTAGGCCAGCCACACTCTATACCATAATTATACTAATTGCTTAAGTTGATGTTTGTATTTATACAGGTTTTTATTGGTGTTTTGTCCTGTGAAAGTAAAAGAAGGGGGTGCCCCTTCTCCAAAAAAACCTTAAGGATGAGAAACATTTTTTTAAATATTTAGCTTAATAAAGTAATGTTGATAAATACAACTAGTAATATTTTTTCTTCAAAGTTGTACACTACATTTATGAGTTTAGCATAATATTAATAAAAATATTAATATTATAATAGCAATAATAACAGAATAGACTTAGTAATCACTAAAAAAAGAATAATTACAATAGTATAAGTAGTAGTAACAATAGTAGTTGTAATATCGTTGATAATAAATATGAATAATAATAAATAATATAGTATACAGATGCAAAATATATTTTTGCAAAAAAAAAGATATACTTTTTATTTTCTTCACATCCAACAGCAAGTAAGCTTGCCAATTACAGGATGGAACGATTCTTTATATACCAAGTCTCTTATCCAGGCCAAGGGAGGGGAGTTGTGTGAAAAGTCCTACTGCAACAGGAATGGAATCCAGGACCCTGGTTTAGAAGACAAGCATCTTAACCACTAATCTATTCAACTCCACTCCAAATTGGCCTAAATTAACAGAATTTGAAAAAAATCAACAGTTCATGTAAATGAGTATTGATTAAAGATTATTATAAATGACTTATAATGAGTTATATCCATTATCAAATTTATTTAGTTATTTTTAGGAATGTGTGCAAGATCTGTCACAGATCAACTTTCTTTGTTGATTATTTTCATCACATTTCATTTTATATATTTGCAAATCCAAAGTCTTATTCAAAGATTTTAAGAATTACTGTTTACCCCGCAGATTCGTTCATCAGAAATTATTACATATCTAATTATTTCAACTACCAGTTCAAAAAGTTTCCAATATTCATCACTTTAATTTGTACAAATCATTTTTCCAGGTGTTAAACAACCAGTCAAATTACATGGAAACTTCTTCAATATTTATATACCTTTTCATTAAGTAAATTGGCAATATGCCAATTCAATTCACTATACAAATGTCTTACATATTCTAACTATCAACATCCATCCATACCTACAAATTTAACAACAAAGATTTTTTTAAACAGGAAAACAACATTTTAGTGGTAGTAGTTTAATCAATAGTGCATTGGAATTTTTTTAAATTCATAATATTTAATTGCAATTAAAACATTGCAGTATTTATTATGTTTATATTTCTTACTAACTTTACATTTCAAACTAATATTAGTATTACCAATCTATCTAGGGCTACTATTGAGCCGAGTTTGACACTTTACCCATCTTTTCTAAGTTCAAAGTTCAACACAATTGGCACAGGCAAATGAGTGATGTTGACAATAGAACTGTAACTAAATTGACAGATAGACTACAGGTAGACATGGCCATAACTTTGATATCATGGTTGAACGACAGTTGTAAATAATCCATTAACACAAACTCAACATAAACACACACGCTAGTTTGAATCTATTATTAGTTTAAAGATTTGGTAGTGAGCCATGAAAGTATTTATTTATATCATAATTTTAAAATATGAGATTTAATAATTTTAATTCATATTATATAATGCAAAGAATTCTGTGGTATCTACAACTATTGTCATTTTTGTGAAAGTAAGTATCTATATCATAATTTTCAAATATCCGATTTAATAATAATTAATAACAACAATAATAATAATGATTAATATTATATAATGCAAAGAATTCTGTGGCATCTAAGTATAACTTAACTATTGTCATTTTTGTGAATAAATAATTTATTTATATTAATCATCCTCTTTTGACAGCATTTTGAGTTATAAATATATTTAATTAATGTCAATTAAATATTATTATTATGATGTATTTTCTCACTTCCCACCTGAATGTTGGATAGACTACAAGTCTGTCTATTTTTATTATTAAATATGCATATTCATGAATAAATAATTAATATCCCATAATAGGGTTGTGTATAGTTTAATAGCATAAATAGTACAGTGTTGTTTCATTAGTAGTCCTATCTTGTCTATTAGTGTAAACATTATTAAAGTATATTCATAAATTTTATAAAAAAAAAAAAAATTGATAAGAACAGATAATTTAATCAATTTCCAATAAATAGGAATTATAGTCGGTGTAGTGTGTGCAGAATATTTTTGGACTTTTGAATTTTTTACATAGCTGAATATTATAATTTTATTTTTCGCACATTAACGCCAAATAAATTATTATTATTTAATGTATTCATTTAAACATGCATATTCATGAAAAATAATGAATATTCCATTATAGTGCGATTTAGGATAAATTATAGAATAATCATTAATGCTATAATTATGTTCTTACACCATAAAGGTTTTGTTGGTGTATTGAGCGCAGATTATCTTTGGGCTGTTGTAGTTAACGAACTTAAATAATGCCAAATAAATTATTATGATGTATTTATTACTACATGCATATTCATGAATAAATAATTAATATCCCATAATAGGGTAGTATTGTAAAAATATGTACAGTATAGAATAAATACTGTAGTAGTGTTATGTTCCAGAAATGTATTAATGCTTAACCAGGACTTTTTATTATAAACCAAAGAATAACAAATTTATCAATGAGAAACAATTGAATTCAAATGCATCAATGAATTCAAGCTATAGTAAATATTTATAACTGTGAAAAGCTGTTACAATGAAGAATGCCATTATGGAGTCCAACTGCCTGGCACAGATACGAATTGTTCTTTGGCAGTTGACTAACAGGGAATAATGGTTAGGTGATAAACTGTATGAAATTACCGGTGGAATAACTAACGTCATATGACAGAGTTTTTCACCTTAACACTAGAAGACATACACAAGTTCTAACCAGTTCGTGGAACAGATTTAACCTTCAAATTTTCTACATCATCAGCAGTATTAAGTAATTTTTCAATTTTTACTAATACACTAATAAATATGATATGCCCATATTTGGGTGTAAGATGACATCATCATGCCTATATATGGGCACATCACACACATTTGTCGCATAAAATTTGATAGTGTAGACAGGGCTTTATAAGGTTTTACACAGAAATATGATAAAAATTTATATTATTTCATAATACTAAATATGCTTTTGAATTTCAAATCCGAGAATTGTTTTTCTCAACCTTTTCTCTACCTGAACATTTAGAACAATACTTTTCCTTGTTATAAAAAATAAATTGCAGAAGCATGAATTTATTTATAGCTTTGAAATAATCTTAAGTTACAATTAATTACTACATACATTCCAAGAATTATTTATAATTTTTCGATTAACATTTATTTTTTTAATTTAATTATGAATTTAGTAGCTTAATGACATATAATATTCAAATTTGAATAGCCAACTGGCACCATTGTAAAAATTGTAACCAAGAGGTGAAATATATGCGATATTCTAAACTGTGAAAATATCACCATGATGCTGCATCAGTGTTGCTGCCACGACAACTTAGTAATACTTTAGTGTCGCTAACTTAGTCACGCTATTTTTGTATTGCTACCTCACTAAATTGGTGCTACTACCTTTGCGTTGTTGTTATCTAGTATCTAATTATTTATTGCTTCATATAATATCGAATAGAGACAAACAATAGTGCAGCTATAATAGCTATGTGCTGGTTCATCTATACTTTTACCTATGTAAACAAATATGCACAAAAACTAACTAATGTATGATACTAGATATATCAACAGATTGTAGAAATGTTTTGTAGAGTACTTTATGGTTTCAACATAGGTGCCCACATGGACTATGGATGGATATGTTAAGATGGGAAGCAACAACAATCACGAAAAATCTTGCAGATTAAAAAAAAAATATCAATCCCATCTAATAACAGTTTAGTTATCAGTTGTATCAGTGTAGTATAGCCGTCTTTTTAAACAATGAAACAGATATTCTATTTTTACTTTATCTTAAGTTATATTGACATAAGATTACCGACATTCTCAACAGGGAAGTAAAAGTGGAAGTGATAACCTTGTGGAAAATACAAGTGTGCAACATGTTTTATCAACAATAAACTGATAAAAAAATATATGATAATCTTTACTGTCATTGTATTATTAGGTGATATCTGTTCGAGTGAGAATCATTACAAGCAGAAAATATTTAAATTATGTATTCTAGCTCCATAAAAACTTTTACGATCATTCTGTCATGGTAACCATTACTAGGCCAGTACATAATATCATATTATTCAAGTTTTTATTTCATTACTCTTTAGAAAAAGTGACGGGAAAATTGATGAAAAAAAATATTGTCCATCTAATCGTCTGAACGCTTCCTTATGCAGCTTTGTAAAGTCATTATAACATAAAACATACATCTCTATAATTACAGCTGCAGTGCTAACATCTCAAATTATAATAATGCGATGTTGAGATATATTTTAATTACACAATACTGCATTTTCTATCATTTTTTAATAATTAATAGTTCCCTACTGAATCGCACTTCATATTGTAAACTTAAAATTTCAAAGCAAAGTAGTTAAAATAAAAACACACAAACTCTTGTTGCAACATGAATTGTTCAATATTTTTTTCATTCTCTCATTTCATCTCAAGCATTCTGTCTCTTATGAAAATATAAATATTAATCTCTATTTGAATATTTTACACATTAAATATGATATTGTTTGGTCATAGATGACTGAGTACAGAGCTACAGTGAAAGTTTTATTCACAATGCAGTTTGATATTTTACACACACACAAACAGAATTTAATAAACAATTTAACCTACAAAGTAGTCCTATCAGAAGAATAAACAACCCAAATTCTATAATTGTTAATATTAGATAATAATTCTTGGGGTGAATTTAAGGTTTGTTAATACAAAATACATAGAAATATTCATAAATAAGTTGTTGACACACAGTGAAAGCAACACATCAAACTGAAGTGGCAAGCGAGAAGGTTGAGGACGTCATCAACACTGCTTGTAGATGGCTTTAGTATGCTTTCCCTGTTTATTCTGACGATAGTGGCGTTTTCCAGTTGATTCCTGATGATAAGCTTTATTAGCTCGCTCAACTTTTGAACGTGATAAAGATTTGCTAAACTGCTTGTTCTCTATTTTCCTAGCGTGAACCAGTGCCGCGCTGTGTGATTGTTCGATACCGAGCCGGTCTGCGATTGCTGCAGCCCGCTTGGGCTGATGGACAGTTCTTACTCGCAGTTTATGTTTGCGAATTGGTTGACGGGAGTTTCCTACACGACAGTGCACCTCACGTGAAGTGGAACTGTGATATACAGACATACTAGGATGTTCAATTAAAAGATTTTCCATGGGGCTCGTTGCGATATGTCCCGGTGAGCCCGCATTAAAACAGGGTGGAGGTGTCATAAACCAACTCTCCTCCCCGGGTATTGGTATTGCGTCCGAGGGTGCTGCACCTCGGTCACCTAGATTCTCCTTTGCAGGTGATGAATCACGACTAATTCTTGGACTTCTTCTCACATCTGTAATAAGAATAAGGTTATGTAAGTCTTATACCGTACAATGTCTTTGTGCATCAAATTACCCCAGTCATTGGATTGAACTCTTATGGGATATCCTGGTCCTTGGATTAAACACCTATGGGATACACTGGTCATTGAATTGAACTCCTATGGGATATCCTGGTCATTGGATTAAACTCTTATGGAACACATTCTCAGCTCCTTGGGTAGTATTCCATTAAATTTTGAAGCTAGTAATCACTATTCAATCCACTGACTTTCAAATCTTCCAGGTACTCACTGTACTCCTTTGGGATGTTGGGGGGGGGGAAGAAAACATGAACCAAACTAACAAGGTGGTCAGTTTTAAGACTTGAACCTCAGATATTTTAATTGGAAAACTGGAGCTTTACCACTGCACAATAAATAAATTGTATTCTTTAATGAATACATGTTCGTAACAGTATGTAAAGGCAACATAAACTTTCAATAATAAACTCAAAGGTGAAAACTAGTTATATCATTTTTTCTAAAGTGAAAGTGAACTGTCTCTGAATTAATGTTTAAAATTGTACTGTATGTCTACTATAATGTATACGCGGATATTTAAGATTACTGGCCTCCCGCACAAATCGCCGTTCTCTCTCCTTCCTACCACAGGGCGACCGTTCTATGGCTAAACAATGTAACTCGAAATTTTCAATTTTGGAAAAAAAATAGAGTTAAAGTTTGTGTACCTTTTGTAACTTTGCAATAAATTGTCGTAGCCATTTGAAATTTTGCAGAATTATCTATAGACATTTTGATTATAATGTAAAATTTTAATTACAACTGCTTGTTTATTGCAAAGTTATCAGGAGGGGCCCAAATTGTTTTTGGGGGTTGTCCAACAACCCTTTAGATATGTCACTGAGTGTATATTGTAATTGTTAGGCAAAAATTATCCAAGGAGCTTGTTAAATCAACAAATTATTTTAACAATATGTTTACATGAACAAAGAATGACATCCTGTAGTAGCATAAACTTGATGGAATTAAGAATACTAAATCAACTTGTCTAAGAATTAACCTAGCCTTGACTTTACAAGCTTGTTATTTTGCAGGTTTCAAAATTATACAAAAGAAATCCTCCCCATTTCAAAATGGATTGTTCTTGGTAAACAAAGATAGTTGAAACAAAAATGGATTGGAGGGAAACTGGAAATTTGTAGCTATTAACCAACAATTTGAAATAGGACCAAAATAATTTTATGACCACTCTTTTGATAATTATATTGACTGATGTCTGTATTAGACATTCTAACTACTGATAGGCTTATATGTTATCTCATGTATCTCAACCATGTATTACAAGATAAAAATCAAGATGGGGGATGTGTTCACAAATTCCATGTAAATTGGCAATGAGTCAAAAAACAGGTTTCCCCATCTGGTAATTCGCATTGTGTTATTTGACATCATTTGTGAGTACGATTGTATTCAAATGAACTACTGTATATTAAAGGTGATAGCTTTGATCCTATCAGTTGTGATGAGCTGGATAAATATAGCACATCTACAAACCAAACCTGGAAACAAACAAGTTTTCCTCTAAAAAACAAACTTTCTCCTGGTTAATGTACTGTATTGTTGAATATAATTATAGCCTACAGTAATTATTACTTATTAATGTGATAGAAGTTATCATAATATATGGAGCTCTCTTATGAAATGGCATTAAAATTAATATCAATCACACAGTGAACATTCATCCATAATAAAAAAAAAAACTATCCTTAATTTTCTTCACTGAATGGCAACAAAACATGCATACACATTGTGATATACCAAGTTTAAATATTTGGTTTCTATATTTCTTTTAAATACATTTCTTTGTAGATTTAAGAAGTATTCAATTATTAAGGAGGGGGTATAAAAATGGAAGGTGAGGGGTAAACTTACTGGTAACGTCCACCAGAACCCATTCATCATCAGCTTCGGTTAGGTCCATCTGCTGAGCGTTCAGTACCTCATCATCATTAGAACCAAAGAGGAAGCTTGCAATTCCACTAAGCATCTTGAAATTTACTTGTTAATTTTTTACTAAAAATTTACAATACAAGTACTCTGAAAATAATATCTTGTGTGATCTAGAAACAAAAGAAAATATAGATAATACATTAGGCTAACATAATGAAAGGTGAAGCTGTTCTTGGCCTAGGCCTATTTGGTGTGGGTAATAATAAGAAGAGTGACCGCTCATCGGCCCGAGCTTTCCTCCACACTTAAATTTGGTACAGGCGCAGGTTATTATATTTGGTTTTTTGGAAGAGGTAATAAGACAGAAATTCTTAAATAATTAGGATGTTTATTTGTACAAACAAAATTATTTAGAATGTTCATTTATACAAAATTAAAATATCTTTAAAAAAAAAAAATGGAAAGCCAAGACGCGATTCGCAACCTTTAGAACACATCCTTAACCGACTGCGGCATCCATGTGACATGCCCTATTAGTGGTAATGGCAGTAATGTAGTCTTTGCTGAAACCTGTTTTGTTTTGTAGGTGTAGAGGAAACCCTGGGTCTAACTAAAAAAAAAAGGCGATAAACGTTTGTTGGAAATTACCTCTAGTTTAAAACTTGCACATCCGTTTAAAACTTGGGACGCTGGATGCTTTTAAATTTTTGATAACAAGAACAAGAACAGTAGTGAGGTTCTGGGGACAGCACCTTGAATGGACCCAACAAGGTCAGAGATTATAATGATTAGAGCACTGTAAGTGGTCTGATCATTAAATCTGGTTATCAAATTTGTATTTAATTTTTATCAAATTTGGGATGGACTAATTAGAATACAAGATGAAACTCCTCTGAACGATAAACAACATTCAGAAATCCATCAATGAAAATTCATGTACAGTACTGTACAGTACCACTTAATAGAGAATTAAGTGAGAAGGGGGACCTTATATTATTAATCTTTCTCTTACTCAGTATTCGGAAAACTATAGTTCCTCCCCACTTTCTATGTACCCACTGTGGTCCCACCTCTTGTCTCTCCCCCTGTGGCCCCACCTCATGTCCCCCAGCTCTGGCTGATCTGGTAATGTTAACTGTCCCCCTAACAGTGGGTCTGCTTTCTGCCTCTTCGCTGGCCCCATCAACTTTCACCCCTGCAGATTTTATTAAACATTCCAAATTGGCTTTTTGCTTATTTCTATGAATTAAACCAGTAACAAAAGGCTGAGCAAAGTCCATCATTAAAACTTTAATGCACTGTCAATAAAATATGCAAATGTAATACAGCAGACGTCTTGTAATAAAGATTAACAATCCAGGGTCATCACAAAGTGCATGTCAAATTGATTTTAACTACTGATAAAAAAGAAAAGAATTTCTGATGCTGTACAATTCTGGTATATTTGTGAAAGATATCTGGGTTGTGCTAAAATTTCAAATAAATAAATACATTATCATTATGCGTTGCATAAAGTTAAATACTGTAGCTTTCAATTAAAAATTTAAAGGATGAAATATTTTCTTCATCAATTTTTAAGAAATACATTTCTGAATATTCTTTGCAAGACCCTTAACATTATCAAATTTTATTAGACAAAAAACTGTATAACAGTCGTGATGTGCCTATTATAATGATGACATCATATCATGATCATATTTAAGCATGTTACTGTCAAATAAAGTTGGATAGTCCCAACAGGGCTTCAACCTGGCTTGAATCGTTTAAAGAATTTTTGTGGAAAATAATTCAGCATTCAATCTGCGTATCTTTGGACATGCTTTGGATAACTTATTTTTCCTTTTAAATGACCAATTCAATGTTTAGTCAGTATGAACAAATAATGAAAATTCTCATTCTAATACCAAACAGGAACTTAAAGATAAAAAAAAAACATATTCTTTAAATTGACAGTCTAGAATAAAATAGTTGATTGTTCTTTTTAACAGATTTTTGTACAAAAATTGTTTGTATTGCACAACAAAATATGATTCTTAAAGATAAAGAACAATAAGAAAATACAGTACAAAAGGTTATTCTAAAAATAGCTTAATAACCTATTTCGCTCCACCACAATATATTTTTTTTTTCCCAGGGTAGCGCAAGTGGGAGATTCCAATGGAACAATGACTCAGTCAAAGGGAACAAATGTCTAATCAGATCCAGGTGTCACAGATAGAAATAGAGTGTCTGCTATTCAAGGAAATACTGTAGTTGAATTGAAGGGCACAGAACTGTAAAGAAATCAAACTAACAAAAAGAATATGTAGCAGAATTAAATAGGTTGGTGGTTATAAAGGTGCTTGCCTTTCATCAATCTCAGGGTCCTGGGTTCAATTCCTGTAAAGAGGATTTTTTTCTCACAACCTAAACAACTTCACTCCATGAGCCTTATACACAATGAGACTTTGTAGAGACATCTTGTGTTTACATTTTTGTATTTTGAAGGCATATGACACTTAAAAAATTGATTAAGTTCACTATTTGGCATTTACTTGTCCCTGGACCTAAACAATTATAATAAAAAATAAAATTAAAAAAAATACCACTGGCATAATATACATTTTTCAAAAGGAAGTCATTATTGCTGAAGCTGCTCTTTTCATTCATTAAACTCTCATTGAAAAAAAAAACACAAGATAAATGAAGACAACAACCAATATTCCTTTGACTAGGATTAACAGCAATGTTTGTTAACCATTCTGACTCTCATCATGGAGGTTTCTCATGCAGGCAATATGATTCTGATTGAAAATCATAAAAGAAATGGGTAGATCCAAGTGAAGGACAGGCTCTGGCCCCTAATAAGTGGAGACTTGAGACTTTCTAGTTCTTTCAGTCCCTATTGTTTGTCAATGGCGCTTAATAATGAGCTTCATGGTTAGTTTTAGGAGTAGTACGAGTACTGTACTGCCTTTGTTTGGTCCTTATCTGAGACAACAACAATAAAATTATATTATATTATATCAGGTCTTTATGCAAACACTCGTAAGTCTTCTTTTCATTACCAGTATTTATTTTTTCCTTTTTTTAGATGTCTATGTTATTAAATCATCAATTAGTTCAATTGAAAAACTGTACCGTAGTCAAGTAAATGCATCATGAGCATCTTTTATGGATACTTCAATGTTATAAAAGCAGAATTTATGGCCAGCTCTGGCAAACACTACTTTCCCGGTTTTGTGTTGACATGAAATTTTGCGCTAGCAGTCATAATTTTGATACTGTAAACAGACAGGAAAATACATTTGTTACTAAAAATACTCTAGCTAGAATAAGGTGGTTAAGTTTAAGCTAATAATATCAAATTTTGCAAATGGAGATTATCAAAATAACAGAGGAACAGTAAGGTAATACTGTAGGTGGAAAATTATGGTCTAGGGTATTATTAAGCATCATTACCGTATCCCTGACAGCTGGTATGCAAAGCTACCTATTGTTAGTAAACCATAGTATACACAATATAAATAAATAATCAATAGCATTGACTGAACCTTTTTATAAAGTCAGGCCCATTCATGAAAAACCCAGTAGCCTTCAAACAGGTTCAATTGCACAACCAATGTATCGTTTTTTCTAGGAAACCTTTATTCTGTGCGTGTATGAACATTTTTTTTTCCCATAAACTTTTTATAATTTTCCTAGAAATGTTTTTATCCTAAAAAAACCAAGCCTTTAGTACGTTTACATACACCTTCCTAGAAATGTTTCTTTCCAATAAAAACAGGCCATACATCTACCTGTACCATTTACGTCTGAGGCATGTTTCTTGCTCAACAACTACTACTACTACTACTAACTCCTACTAGGCTATCTAAAGGTACATCACCCTCAAATGTACTATTTGTTATTGTTTTCTCATTTCCATATTATCATAATCCTGCATGTTTATTTACATTCATAGCATAGCTATTCAAATTCTGGATACAATACAATCATGGGAGGTAATAATACATCTATGATACAATGCATTCAAAACTACTCAAGCATTACACAATTGATACCAATGTATCTAATTATGCTGAAATTGTTAATGGTAATAATTTGCAGTGACGCTAAAAAAAGTTCTCGTTGCAAGGTGAACTGGCACAAGGCTGCACGGCCATAGCTGTCATCACTCCTTATAAGTATAGCCTAGATATTTTGTCTAGTTTTTATCTACATGCAATCAAATCCTTATGCAATATACATATTTATTTCTTATAATACACATCTATAAGTACAAGTACATTTGCCAATTACTGAGCTAAACAAGCCTTTAGGTAGTGGAGTTAGTTGTTAGAAAAAATTCCTGCCTGGTGCAATGGTACACACACAAGGATTAGAACCAAAGACCCAGGGATTGGAAGGCAAAACCCTGGGATTTACAGGAATTAAACCAAAGAACTTAAATAGCAGAAGAATGAGCTGTTCTGCGTATTTGCATTAAAATATTTTACTAAAATGATGCTCAACTCAATTTTAATTGATCTTCATTTATTATTATTTCATTTAATTACAATTTCGTCCTTTATTAAAGAAAGACCAAAATCGATATACTGTATAAAAATAAGATTACTTGTCAAATAGAATAGTTTCTGGCTACTGTTCTTTCAAAGGCCTCATTCATGAATGCATAGTATTCATTCAAGGATGCAGGGAAAATACAGATTGTTTACATAATAGATAAGTAGAAGTGGTTGGCGCATCGGTTGTGGGTTGGACTCCCAACCTCGGGGTCGGGGGTTCGAAACTCTCGCTGCTTAGCGGCTTTGTTAAGGCATTAGGCGCTATATAAGAACGACATTATTGTTATTATTATAACAATACTTGAAAATCATCATAACAAAGATTAATTTCAACAAGTATTTAACACAATTATTCATACTGGTTATTAACCATGTAGTGTATGTTTTGTTACCAAATTGTGCACCGATGCTGCAATTACTGCAGACCGGGGCATTTCCAGAGAAAAATATGGGAAGGGAAACATGTGATGGACTAAGCAATGGGGTGTATTTTCGATTGTAAAAAAAAAATAATACCATGATAAATTTAATAGACTTCAATACCATATTCTTTTTTTCTCTCCTCTCTTCATCCTTTCTTTTCTTCTCTCTTTTTTGGGGAAAGGGGCTCTTCCTTCCTTTTCTTTTTTTTTTGAGGAAGGGGACTCTAGCCCTTATAGCCCCCCCCCCCCCCTGGATCTGCCTCTGGTGAAACATTGGTAGAAAAAATGACTTCTTTAATTTTTACAAACAAGGCCTGAGTAGAGTTGTTAATTGGTGGCAAGATGCCTTCAAATCTACAGTAGGGTCCTAAGATCAGCTCCTGTCAATTGAAATAATATTACTAATCACTCTGGCACCAAGTTCAAACATTCCGAAATGAAGTAGGCCAAACTATGATGAAGAAAACTGGTAGTAACAGGTAGTATACTGTTCTGTTTAAATTTACAGCCAAATGATAACAAGCATGGAATAATGTAGGACCTAATATTAAGTAAATGTAAACAACCAATATAAATTTGAGACAAGAACTACATAAGATTTCAGGAATCACTGCATGTATTCTGGCATTACTGTAAGAAAAATCAATAGATCATTAAAAAAAGGGAGTGGCTAATGTTTTTTTTTCCCTTTTTTTATTGAGATCCTGGGTTAGTTAAAAAATGTATTATTTTTTCTGAGATTCGGTTTCAACTGAATAATCAAGCAAGTAGGCCTGATTGGAATTGTTAGGAATCTTGCCCATTATTTTAGGCCACCGGTCTAATAAATACAATAGCATGTGAACCTCATAGACTGATATACTACGTGAACTAGGCCTAGCCTAGCAAGTTGATGTTGTACCGAGTGTCTATTCCCTTTCTGTCAAACTCAAACTGACCCTTCTCATCTCTTCTTTTACATTGGGCATGGTAAGCTAGAGAGAGTACTTAAAATACGGAGACTGGGTGCATTTAGAAATGCTAAAATATTTGACTTTCAGGTAGTAATGGCGACTGTGCAAGGAATAAATAACTACATTCATGAAAGTAGTTTTCTTTTCAATCAGGAAGCAATACGAGTCTTGCATCACAATCAATTAATTACAAGGTTGGCAGCGTACATACAGCTAGCTCAGCTAATTCGCAGCTGACAACCCAGTAACAACGGCTACGCGATGAATTCCGCGCAAATTCATGATCCGCCCAAAACTGTGCCTGCTATTTTCTTAAATATTTAACAATCAAACTTACCTAAACCAACTAAATTTATATAAAGCTGAGCCTTCGTCTTTCGTGATGCAAACTGAAGCAAAATAATACTGCAATATGAAGAGGGCGTTAGCAAAAATAAGTAAAGACTTCAGACGATTAATTTGGTTTAACGTTTAGCGTTCTCCGTTTGTTGACAACAAACAGCTGATTGCCAAATTTGGAACATATTGCGTCATTCATGACATACTAAGGACTATACCATTTTAGTATATGAAAACTTAAACTAGATTTATATGACTATGTATTGTAAGTACAGTACTAACATGTTTTTGTAGCATCGAAAAGTACTCAATATTATTGCACCTTTCATAACATAATTATAAGTTACAAAGTTAAATTTAAACTTAAGTGCAACTATCGTTATTGAAGTGTTTTACCTACTAATTAGAATGTAACGACCATAACAAAGGCACATGATTCGTGCGTGTTGTTGTCGTGACAAGCCTCATTAAATATTAAAATAGGAAAATAAATTTAGTATTTTTGTAGACTAATCTAAAGTATCCCGACAGTGCAAAGGTGCATGTGCAAGTCTGGCTCAAATGCATTGCACTACACTCTCTAATAACTATCAATAGGAATAGTTTGGGGGAAAGGCGGAATGACGAAACGTAAACAATAAAAATGTCATTACGCAGAATTTACCCCGGAAGAGAAAAATATTCGAATTTATGACCCGGAAGATAATCATGTGTTCCACGTCAAAACTGGGTTTAGACAACGCGGCATAGAAAACGTGTGTAGCGAGCCTAGAGAGTGAGTGTTTGTGGCTCAGTTTTGTCTTTACAAAGGCAATGGAAACTTGAATCTTCTAGAAATAAGATAGTTGCGTTTTTTGTTAAAGTTACTCCGTTGTTTTTTAAGGAGCAATATTTCTTATTTTGCTAAGTAAGTATGTATCTCACTGTCTGCTCCTACTAAATTTTAGGCTACTACTAGGAATAGTAGCTAGGTCTAGAACAAGGCCTAGCTAGCCTATCACCGCACTGGGCCTAGGCCTAAACTTAGGAAGGGCCCAACAAGGCCTAGGCCTATATAATAACTAGCTGGGCATAGGCTAGGCTAGCCATGCTGGGGCTAGGCCTTAGGCCTACCCCTAAAGCCTAGGCTCATTCCTTTCAACTTAGGCCCTAGTAGTGGTTAGGCTAGCTAAAGTAGAAAGACTACTAGGTCCTAGGGGAAGCAGATCAACTCGGCCATATTATAAGTCAACTCGCCCATAAGTCAACCCCGGCCCAAGTCAACTCGGAACCAAGTCAACTCAGTCCCAACAAATCAACTTTGCTTGGTCCCATGTCAACTCGGTCCCAAGTCAACTCGGCCCCATGTCAACTTGGCCCCAAGTCAACTCGGCCCCAAAGTAGTCAACTCGACCCCAAGTTAACTCGGCCCAAAATTTACTGTATATTTACGAAATAATTACCAAAATAAATAATTAATAAACTAATTTTATATATCCTGAAAAAACGTCAACCGCCTACAGTATGTTATTATTTCTTGTCTCCATCCATCATATTTATGATTATGTTATTATTGTCATCATATCAATATCATTATTTAATAGTTATTATTATACCTTTTTATATTTTATAAATATTATTTAAATATTATTTGTATTAATGCAGTTTTTAATTATTGTAAGTGGATGTAAATAAAAAAGGCAACGATTTAAAACACTTTAATTTTGGCTTTGCATTCAAATCTCTTGTGGTAAATATTCAGTAAGTACAAAGTAAATTGGGGCCGATTTCTCCATTATATTATTGAGAGCTGTGCTGAGAGTTGAGTTCTCAACGGCCGATAATCACATACCTACTTTATCTAGTTGGTATTAAAAATTCCTCATGTTTTAAGATATCAGCTTAAAATGCAATTTAAATTATGATGGACTCAAAGTGAAACCTATCAGAATGTTTAATAATTGACTGATTCAGTGATTGTTGTTTAACTTGTTGTCCCACAAAGTCTTCTTAGCACTGCTATTTGACTCTTATAGATATTCAGTAAAACCACAAATTTTGAGTTTTGAGTCAAACCATAATTTTGTTGATATTTTACTTGTTGATTGTTTTTTTTTATTGCAATTCCTTTCTTGCTTGCATATTGGGATGATTTTTACTTTTAATACAGTCCCTGCTTTTGATTGTCATGTTAAATCTTTCTCTATGGTTATGTTCTTACACTAGTTACATAATATCAATAAATGGATCATAAACACTTCAGTCTTTGAATTTAATAATTAATAGTCCTGGTGGTTTTTGTGCTCTCTTCTTTGGAAACTTATGGTTGATTGTAGTCTAAATTCTGTTAAGTGTATTCCATTGTTGCGAAGTATAAAAAAAAATATTGAATATTAAAAGAATGACAGATTTTCTTACCTCTGCTTTAAAAGGAATTTTTTAAGGCACAACAGACTAATTTCTTATTTTCGTGTAAATTTTTCATTAATAGTAGATTAAAAAAAAAACATGCAATATTTTCTTTATATAAGGACATATTATTTTTAAGATAATGTTTGTTGTAAATGTACAGGGTATGTACTTAGTTAGAATTGTGTTTTTTTTAAATATGTGCTAAAATATTTATATTTATTTTTGTATTGGAATTGTTTTTTGCAATAAGGAAGAAAAATGATCATAATTGTATGCTATATTTTTATGGCAATTATTAGTTATCTGTATCTATCTTTATCTGTATATATCTTTATCTGTATACTTACTCGAGAATTTCTGCTCACATACAAATAATTGGTGTTGTTTATTATGCCTGTTTTGTACAGATAATTCTGTGAAAACGTTATCTGTATGTTGCAATAATCACCATATTGCTTTCTTTCCTCAATATTATATTCATCATTACTGTAGAGGTCAAAAAGCAATCTATTGAAAAGCAATTTATTACAAACAAACTTATCCAGTTTTGTTGAAAATACAGTGTACAATTCTTTCTACCACAGTGTTTTCTCCTTTTTTGAATGATTTCAAATTATTTTTTTTTTTTCACATATTTTTCAGCAGGAAAACTTAATCCAAAATGCCTGTGTCAGCTGATGAGCTTATTAGACTCCTGTCTGTTTTAGCAGAAGAGGAGAACCTCAGAGTGACAGTAAAGGAGACTATGAAAGCAGGAGTGATGGCAGGAACTGGAGCAACAATTGGCGGTCTGATGGGCGGACCTCTAGGGATCGCTGTTGGTAAGGAATGGATGAAATTATTTCATTTGTCATTGTAGTCTCATTGGCAGTTAAATCTTAATATCTACTGTACTTTTCAAGAAAATAAGAATTTCCATTGTTGTAAACCAGAGTGGGCCTGTAGCTGGGAAGTTTTCTTGCTTGCCTTCCAATCAATCAGCTTTTGATAACCTGTCTGGCATTCCGAAGTGATTGCCATTATCTTTCTTTTTTTTTCATTTTGAGTCTGTGTATTCATTCTTTTTGTCTGCAAAAAATGTAAACATCCTCTCTTCTTTCCTGATTGACTGAGATGTAGAGAATAAAGCAGGGCTCTTACTGCGCATGACAGTTGTCGGCCAATGCGATTCTACGCAGCGTGCAACATCACACCGCACGCACAACAGATCGTGTTTAATGACGATCCTTGCAGACTGCCACCGACAGTCAGCAGACGGTGTTGTGTCGTCTTATCGATCATGGGGAGCGGAGTTGGATTCGCCGTACAACAGTTGTACGGCGAATTGAGTGCCCAGCTTAAGTGTATTGAAATGTGCCTTGAGGCTCATTTCTTCAAATTCAAATTCAAATTTAAATTTATTGTCCAAAAAGGAAATTACATTGAGAAAAAGTCATTGCTCAAGAATTACACAATTACAGTATTTAAAAAAAAAAAACAAAAACAAAAACATCAATATAAAAATACAGAATTATAAAATTTATAAATACATGCAAATTAACACATTAGAAATATCAAATAAAATACATTATATACAATAAAATTTACATAGTAGAAAAATTAAGATGTTAAATTACATTATTATTAATTGATTGCACAAAGAACCCGAAAAAACTGTTAATAAAAATTGCAATATAAAAATATAATATAGTATAAAAATAACTTTTTTATACTATATAACATTTTTGGATGTAAACGCTATACTGTACGAATCTTTTATAATGTGCAGGCAACTGTATGATTAAACAGGAAATCTAGATGCAGCAAATGGAATTTGCTTGGTTTTCTTCAATTTTATTTTTTTTCTTAATTTATAGTTTGTTTCTTATTAAACTTACATCTAGTGTTTGCAACATCTTACTTGTTAACATGTTCAGTCATTAAATAAAGGACCTGTATTTACTGATGATTTCATGTTTGTATTTTGAATGTTGATGTTCTAATAATAATATATTAGTTAAGTTTACTAATTAGTTTGCACTAATGAGTATATGTTTGCAGTATGAGTATATGTTTGCAGTATGAATATATGCACAGGTCCTAAATATTTGTAAGGGCTACCGATCGATGGTGTATTATATATTTTATTAAAAATACATAATTGTTATTGCTGTACAGTATATAAAGGAAATATCCATAATTTCTATACTATACATTTACAACTCTGTATAAAGATATTGTACATGATCTTTTATTGGTTCTAATGTACAGTAATATTTATATATACTCTACATTGTAAGCATTTGCTGCCGACTGACCACAAATATAGGGGGACAAGTAGGGACTTCGACAGATGGTTGGTTCAGAGTGCCTTAGCCCCACTCTGAATATGTGGCTAAGACAAGCCAAACCAGTCACTCATTGCAATCCTGATTTTGAGATAATCGCCAAAACATGCTGGAATGTCAACATTTTTAATATCTATTTTATAACTAAACTATTAAACTATATATCTATATCATGCTATGCTGTTATTTCCCCCATTTTAAATGTTAAACATTTTTTAATGACTTGGTGATGGTTTCTGCCTGAGAAAGGCCTGAAATCATGAATTTTGAAGGCTGATTTCTCAAGTATTTTTTTTTAAACAGTTGTATCTTTTAACTCATATAACTTCATAACAAAATGTCTGATTTAAATGGTTCTTTTACCATTTTATAACTCTCATTGTACTGTTTAACCCTGTATTAATAACTAAAAATGGATTTTTGCGACGAGTGACCGGTTTGGCTTGCCTTTCCCACAGATATAAAATTTCTAAAATTTAAAAAGGTCAAAGTGGTTACCCCTCTCCCCTCTTGAATCAGACAGGCTCACCGAGTGGGGGAAGGGGGAAAGATCCCAGGGTCCAAGCCTACTAGTGGCCCATAGAATGTGCAGGTAGCATTTTTTTTTTCAAAAATAATAAATACTATCATGGGCCCTCAATAATGGCGTGGGTCCCTTAATAATAGGCCCCTCCAGATTGACAGGGCCCCCCCCCCCAAAAAAAAAAATTGTGGCGCCTTTGGCGCAATGTTTCTTGCACTTCGTGCTCGTAGCTGGGGGCCCACTTGAACCCTTGCCTTTGTTATAGTTTCCCCTATTGGCAGCCCTAGAACCAGCCCCTGATATCACAAGAGGTGCTATCCTCGGTTAGTTTAATCTTGACTTACCAGAACAACATCCCTACAGTACAACTAAAAGAAATGGGCTTATTTTCATAGCTAGCTATTTTAGTACGGTTTTCTATGGAGAGTTCACAATGCTTACATTTATTGTTTCCGAACAATGCCAACATTAAATAAATATGCTAGTTTTGCAGGTGAATGATTTTATATAGTTAAAACCGAAATCAGTGGACTATTTGCCGCCATCTTTAGTGCAGTATGAGGTAGAAGGACAAGTTTAATGTAGTGGAGTTGAAAAGCTCAGTGGTTGAGATGCTTGGCTTCTGATCCCAGGATCCTGGGTTCAATTTCTGTCGCAGCAGGAATTTTTCTCACGACTAGAGCCTCCACTCCCTAAGCCTCAATTAGTTTAAAAAGCATCATTCTCATCCTGAAGTGGTGAGTCTACAGTACTTGCTGTTGGATGTGAGGGAAATATTAAAAAATATTTTTAAAAAAAATGGTTCATATTTGTTACATTATAGTACAGTACATTGATTCTTTTACAGTGTATCTTGTAAAAATATAAAAACGTCCATCACTTTAGGCCCCTCCAGATTGACAGGGCCCCCCTCCCCCAAAAAAAATTGTTGCGCCTTTGGCGCAATGTTTCTTGCACTTCGTGCTCGTAGCTGGGGGCCCACTTGAACCCTTGCCTTTGTTATAGTTTCCCCTCTTGGCAGCCCTGGAACCAGCCCCTGATATCACAAGAGGTGCTATCCTCGGTTAGTTTAATCTTGCCCTACCAGAACAACATCCCTACAGTACAACTAAGAAATGGGCTTATTTTCATAGCTAGCTATTTTAGTACGGTTTTCTATGGAGAGTTCACAATGCTTACATTTATTGTTTCCGAACAATGACAACATTAAATAAATATGCTAGTTTTGCAGGTGAATGATTTTATATAGTTAAAACCGAAATCAGTGGACTATTTGCCGCCATCTTTAGTGCAGTATGAGGTAGAAGGACAAATTTAATGGAATGGAGTTGAAAAGCTCAGTGGTTGAGATGCTTGGCTTCTGATCCCAGGATCCTGGGTTCAATTTCTGTCGCAGCAGGAATTTTTCTCACGACTAGAACCTCCACTCCCTAAGCCTCAATTAGTTTAAAAAGCATGATTCTCATCCTGAAGTGGTGAGTGTACTTGCTGTTGGATGTGAGGAAAATATTAAAAAATTTTTTTTTTTTAAATGGTTCATATTGTTACATTATAGTACAGTACATTGATTCTTTTACAGTGTATCTTGCAAAAATATAAAAACGTCCATCACTTTAGGCCCCTCCAGATTGACAGGGCCCCCCCCCCCCAAAAAAAATTGTTGCGCCTTTGGCGCAATGTTTCTTGCACTTCGTGCTCGTAGCTGGGGGCCCACTTGAACCCTTGCCTTTGTTATAGTTTCCCCTCTTGGCAGCCCTGGAACCAGCCCCTGATATCACAAGAGGTGCTATCCTCGGTTAGTTTAATGGTTAAGTTGTAGCAAAAATTGAAATTCAAGTTATTCCAGTATTTTCATATACCTGATTATGTGATCTTTAAAATGAGGGGGTCATTCGTTGAAATTGGACATTTCTAGCCTAAGTTATTGGAAAGTGAATGTACAGTACTCTTAGAATCAAGATAAACATGATTTTGAGTAATTGCCTTTCAAAGTTATTTGTGCATACATTGTTTAATAGAATGAACTATCAAAATAACATTAAATAAACAATTTGTTGACCACTTCCAGAAGTAATACTTTGGTACATGATTAATAAGACCTTAAACTGTTGATCTATTGAAATTTGTGGATTTTTAAGCAATTTTTTGAGCTCCAATATTTTATAGATCATATACTCAGGACTGGCCTGTGCGACAACTTAACCATTTTGCCACAGCATGCCTCATATAAGGCCACTGTTATCAGCTGTGATGTGTATATCTATCATTAGGCCTAGTATTTACAAGAATAAATTATAATGAAAATTTACACCTTATACAATACATCTTTATTATGAAAGTGCTTTTTCTGTTGGGTTTTTTTTTATATCACAGACCTTATATCATACTGTACCTTTCTCGTGTGCAGTAAAGGCAATTCGCATATGACGACCCGCATATAAGACAACCCCAGGATTGTAAGACGATGTCAGTCGTATAAAACAACCCCGCTGTTTCACCGTGGGAATTCCTACTTTCCAAATAATACCATTTTATTTTCTTTTAAATTTTCATCAAAACCTTTCATTTTCCCGCAGTTTTAAGATTGTGTTCATTCATACTAAATTTTAGCTTCATTTCTGTTGTAAATTTGTGTGTTACGGATGATCCACACATACTGTAAGACAAACATAATTTAAAAAACAAAAAGTGTTGTGCAAATACAAGACAACACCATGTTTTTCGAAGGTAATTTGCTAATTGTCTTTTATGCGAGAATATACGGTATACTGTAAAGTCTGTGAATATATGAAGATGCAAGTCCTTGAGTTAAAGGCATTTCAAAGTTATTATATTATATAAATTATTAAAGTTTCATTCCAATGCATATATCTCATCATTTGCTCACACAGTAATTTTCGATGAGGTCAAATGTTCGCTTTCCATGTGTTTTACTTTTTATTGTTTTAGTCAGTGGAATTGTAGAGTAGTATTTGTAGTAGTAGAGTTGTGGGATAAAATTTGGTTGTTCTGTTAACTTTGTATGTTTTTTTTTCTGTCTGATGGCCGGTCGTATTGCTTTTCAGGTGGGACATGTGGTAGTTTGTTCGCTGCTTACATGACCAATGGAAAATTCAAATCGGTTCCGCAAATTTTACAAGAGATGAAGCCAGAGCAGAAACAGAAGCTATATGCACAGTACCAAATTATTCTGCAGGGTCTTGACTACAGTGATATATATGACCTTCAGAAACTGATCACTGGTGACTCTAAAGTTAAAGGGATGGTGTTGGAGGGATTGTCAAACTATTTGCAAAATGAATTAAACATGGCAATTGTGGGGAATGTGGGCTAGTTTGATTATAACTGATTATAAGCTGTATGTTGAGCTGTATAAACTAAAATTTACAGTTAATTTAGACTTGGCTTATTTTGTACGTTTCTATAATCAACTAAACCATAATTAGAGTTTTAAATTGAAGCCTATTGGTGGCAGTATGCTTTCTAAATAGTCTGAATATGTTTTTTTATTTATAGTGAAAAGATTGTACATTGTTTTGATGTGTCTTGAACTCGATAACTTAACCAAAAAAACAAGTTTTTTAACAATTCAGTGATTGCAATTGAATTTTTATGTAATGGTTTATATATTAATATTTTAGATTGTACCACAGACACCTTTTAAGCAAATATTACACATTGTGTGTTAAAAATATTGATAAGCAATTGTAATTTAGTTAGAAAAAACTCTACTCAAGTTGCTAAAATTCTTTTTAGGTACTGTACTGTATTGTAGCACTAATTCCAGTAGAAGGTTCTTGGAAAAGCCGCACTAAAGAGGTCGAGGTGCCACTACGCAAGTACTGTACATTAAGACAGTTTACTGTACCCTCTTCCTCGTAAAAAGTAAAGTAAACATAATACCATTGATAAATTATGTATAGAAAGCCTTGAAGAAAGTGAAAGTTAGAGTTAATTTCGTTATACCACTGAACAACCAACGAGTATTATTATTGTTTTTTTCTACTGGTAAATCTTCTTATCCACCTGGTTTTATCCTAACATAAACTTTCAGAGACAAGTTAAAGACAATTGTTTGTTGGTTAAATTGAACACATGAGAAATCATTGTAATTTAAATTGTAAACAAGTAAATATTTTTTTATATATTTTTTTTACATTTATAATTTTTATGCTTTTGTATATCAAAAGCGTTTAATTGTGTTCATTCCAGGCTCTTAATGAAAAAAAAACAACAAATTGTAGTCTAGATGTTGTCTAATTTTAGAAGTTCTTTGTACAGAATATCATTGTTTATACCGTAAAACCGTGCAAATAGAAGCCCCATGGGCTTAATCTTGAGAAGAAGCCCATCTCAAAAATAGCCCCCTCTTCAGTTTGCAATTTAAGTAATCTTGGAAAAGAAACTTATCTTGAAAAGAAATCAAGATAATATACAATAAGATAAAACTTGATTGTCACAACGATATAAGGTCAGCTATAAGATGGTTCCTTAAAATATACTCATATTAGAAAAATATAGAAATATAATTAAATACATACAAGTTGCACAACAAAAATTGCTAAATTTAAAAAACACAAGACGCTAAAAGTAATGAAAACTGTTATTCAAAACCTACAGTAATATGGCTTCTTTCGATATAGTACTTACATTCAGCTGAATGTTATCTTTGAATATTATGGTGTCAGTATTAATTTAATTTTTTTTTTTGTACTAGCATGGTAAAAAAATAATAATTTACAGAATTTCAAATTCCATAGTTGAAAAGTGTTATATAATAGCAATTTCAAAAGTTACAGCATTCAATTTAAAAAGAAGAGCCCCCTTTTTAGTTTGAAAAATAGTGTGGAAAAGAAGCCAAATTTGAAAAGAGGCCCATCTCTAGAAGAAGCCAATCCAAGTGTCCTAAAAAAATGAAGCCCAGGGCTGCTATTCAACTTCTTACTGTACTAGTACTGGTGCTGTAGTTGTACCAGATGTTTACACACAGCAAACATCAGTAACTATTGAATAGTTCAATTTTTAACTTTCAAATAGTATATATAATTATTTGATAAAACAGTATTACTCCAACACAAGGAAGAAGTATAAAAGATAGAGTATTATTATTTTATAATAGGGATAAAATTTTTGTTTAATGTTAAAGCAATAATTGTTGTACTGTAGCTGGACCTAGTCTTTCATTTGTTAGCTTGCTGTAATTGTTATGTGTTGAAAATAAAAAACAACCATTAAAGAAACGTCCACAGTAGAATTATATTACTGTAATTGTTTTATGGAAGCATGCAGGGGCGGATCTAAGGGTGGCCGGCCCGGCCCTGGCCCCCTCCTCCCTTTTTGAGAGGTAAAAAATAAGGGAAAAAAAAAAGAAAAAAAGAAAGAAAAGGAAAAAAAGATAGCCAGAACGCCTCAAATGTTATTTTCACGCATGCGCACGGACCCCCTAGGACAATGTTGTCTCGATCTGCCCAACTTTCGGGCTTCCCCCCCCCCCTGGACATCTCTGCATCGGCCCCTGGCATGTGATGTAGTGGTATAGGACTGGGGTTTCAATCAAAGGTCTGGGGAAAATTTGTGTCCTTAGGCAATGTACTGTACTATATCTCTCTCCACTAGTGAGGGGTAACAAATGCTGAGCCCCAATGGCAAGGTTCCTGGAACCTTTACCCCCATTCTGCTCGGGTGGCAGGGTGACTATGATCTTTCAGTTATCTACATTTCTAAAACGATTATATAGTAGACAACCAGTTTTATCACTTTTTCTTCATCCTAGTAGCCTCAACCAGGGGCAGATCCAGAATTTTTCAAATGGGTGGGGAGTGGTGGTGTACAACATATTCAGAATAGATAAGTGAGTAGCCCTAATTTCAATATATGCATTGAAATTTTAAAATTTAGTGGCAAAACATGGGGAAACGTGCCCCATGATCTCCCTACTGGATACGCTCCTGGCCTGAACAGCCCACACCATTTACTGCTGCTGATCTCCACCAAAGGAGTATTTTTTCAACACGACATGTCCAGTTCAAAGCAAATCTTTGATGTTTTGTCAACTCTGTGGTGATGATTGACGAGTGATTAGTGATGATGTTAACCAAAACATTTCATAAATAGTGATGATGATAATGATGTCTTTGTATTGACCAAACTATAAATTTTAGTTGAAGTGTGTTAAGTTTATAACCATAATTATTTGTTTATTACTGCAGGAAGCATGCTGGGAGCTGGTTATGCCAAGTGGAAAATTGGCGGAAAGACAAGATCAGTTTCAGAGGTGCTCACCGAACTAGATTCAGACAAACGCGCAGATGTACACAAATCCTTTCAAGATATTCTGGACCAGTATCCCGGCGAAGACTTCTCCAGCTTAATGCGCCAGCTATCTGAAGACGGAGAACTACGAGCTAAGCTTTCGGAAAGGACAAAAAAATATGTTACAGAGGATCTGAAGTTGACAATACAGGAGAGCCATAAACAACGAGGCAAAGCTGAGTAGTAATATAGAATGAAAATAATTGAGGAAATACGAAGCGGTACATTATATTTGAAAGGCTTTCCTATTTTTAAATATAATCAAACTATTTGCACGATTCTACAGAAAATAGAACAACAAAACAAAAAACAGCAAGAAATTAACGGTACAGTACACAGTGTTTTATTGCAAGTGGTGAAATAAAGCATACTTTCTATGTTCAGCAACAAATGTTGAGAAACAAGCAATGTTGATAAACAAATTCTGAGACACAAATGTTGAGCAGCAATGTGTAAAACAGAAGTTGAGTAGATAATATTGGGTAGTTAAGGTTGAGCAACAAATACTGAGTAACAAATATTCAGCAAAAGTTGATCAATGAATGCTAAACAAAAATTGCCAAGCAACAAATTCTGAGCAACAAAATGCCAAGTAACATGTTGAGTAACAAATAATAAGACATAATATGCTATTTTGATACACTAATGTTGAGCAACTTATTTTGTAGAATATGGTGTGTAAACAATAATTGCTGTAAAATATTTGGGCAGCAAATGTTGCAGGATGTGTTTAGTAACAAATGAGCATCTATAATTCAGTTTATATATGCCATCGCGTGGCAATACATGACCAAATATTTAACGGGAGTGTTTATGGATATTGTGCATGTTTGGTGGAATGATGTTAAGCAACACATATTGAGAATCAGATGTTGTAGAAACATTTGTTGTTGAGCCACAATATTGTACAAGATACAGTAAGCAGAGTGCACAAGCAAGTCAGTCTTTTCCTCCGTCTGCTTTCATCTTGTTGCACACTTGATTAGATCCAAACATTGAGAGGGTTACAAACATGCTTAGCAGTATCATAACACATCTTTTAATGTTTGTTTAGAATACTATGAAACATAATTTTTCAAAATGCATAATGATAATAATTATTATAAATGTTAATATTTCTTATGGTGCTTATTCAGTAGTATGTAGGGTTTGTCTGATTTGATGTACAGTATTGCTTTTATTTCTGTTTATCTTATATAACCAATTAACGTTGTTTGTTTGAATTGAATTAAGTATTCCTGTTATATAATATTTTTTTTCATTTTTAGAATTATGGATTTTATTAGAAAACACTCCTCTCATAAATCCCTGAATAAGACCAAAAACAATTGCAAAACCCTCTGTCCACACTATCAAATTTTATTTGACAAAAACCTCTTGTATGCCCATATATAGTCATGATGTGCCCATATATAGTCTTGATGTGCCTATATATGGTCATGATGTGCCCATATATAGTCATGATGTGCCTATATATGGTCATGATGTGATGTCATCATGACCATATTTGGGCATGTCACACATTTTTGTCAAATAAACGTTGATATAGTAGTCTGGACAGGACTTAAAGAAAGATAACTGTGATGCCAAAGTTGATGATAGTTATTTAGAAGACGATTGACCATAGTCAGAGTAATAACAGATAATAAAACTGATAGATAAGAGACGTAGATGAAAATATAGTTTGTATGAGATGTTGCCAATTGAGCCGATTCAAGGAATGTTTAAACAAGTAAAATTTGTTAATGAGGAGTTAAAAAGAAGACGGTGGATTTTTAAATAGAAGTCAATAAATAGAATCACGTTAATTTGATTAATCCCAGCAATATTCATTAATCATTATAGAATTAGCCCTTAGATAGAATCAACTTTTATAACAATAGAAATAGCACTTAATATTACAGTATGTAGAATCAACCTTAATATAAAAGAATTTCCGTTTAATCTTGATAAAATCCCCTCTTAATATTGATGGAATCCTCATCCAATATTGATAAAATCAGTGGGTGCAAGAAAGCTTGGATACTGTATACTGTAGACACCACCTTATCTTAGTAGAATCACAGCTTAATCTTTATAGAATCAGCCCTTTTTCTTAATAAAATCATCCCTTACTCTTAATAGAATCAGCCCTTAATCGTGATAGAAGATTAAGTAGAAGCACCTCTACTGCAATGTTGATAGAAACACCTATTCCCAGGTGTATCTTGCTAATGCTCGCCCTTTTGTGCCATTCTTGTGGCTTGCACGATCTGCCGTTGCAGGCAAAAGCTCCTACCGTCCTACCCGCATTTACAATACATTGTACTTTAAAAAGTTGTGCCTGTCTGTATTTGTATGTCAGTGGTGTTATGTAGTGGGTGTGCATTCCCCCAGTTCACCTGCCTCGACACATCCCCAATGTTGAAAGCAAAAAAATGACACTCAAATAGATAAAAAGGTAGCGGGCGCTCCCTCGCTTATTCATCGAGCCCCCAATCACCCTTCGTACCCGCACAGACCCTCCATTTCAAGACTCTTAGATGGGCCACAGCAGCATGCTACAGATTTCAGTGTAGCTTGAAGTTCTATGCACACATTAATAACAGTTTATTATTACAATATTATTATTACTACTTATGTTTCTTATTGTCAAGGCTGGGACTTGAATTAGGAACCACTTAACATTTTAGCCAAGTAAAGCATGAAACATGTAAAATGTTGAATACTGTATAATTTTTAATAGTTGCATATACAATATTCAACCCACAAAAATTTCTAGATGATTTGCTAGAATGAGCAATCTAGTGTAGAACAATACATTAAGATAAATACCTATACCTTACATAGTGGAAAGCAACCAGGTAAATTATGTTTAATAAAATGATATACTGGTCTGTAGATCCTCGAGAATAAACCCACACCCCCCTCCCCCCCTACTTTATGCCCAATGTTATGTACCAGAATTTCCTCAGGCAAAAGCCCAGGGTATGACTTTTACAAATAATATTCTCAGAAAAAACATCAAATATTGGCCTTGTATTAGGCATACAGTGCCGAAAATTTCCATTCCCACCCAAATATTGGCCCAATTCTGTGTTCAAGTGGTGGGCTTTAATATACCATAGGACCTACAGTAAATTTGAATCTGAATAGCTTGGTAGTTAAGATGCTTGTCTTCCAATCCCAGGGTCCTCTGGATTCATCGATCCATAATTAAAGCATAAATGAACTTGATAATTTTTTGAATTTTGTTTTTACTGAATGTTTTGAGGATTTATTTAGATAGTAGGGAGCTTTTGATTTGCGCGACTACGCGACTCTAGAACGGGTTCACTCATGCGTGTCCGTCCTACATTCTCTGCACAACGTAGATATGGTCATATTGCGTCCTAGAATTCACAGGAGAATGTGACGTTTTCGCATGCACAGATGAAATATTAGTCACGATTCTACCGATCGGAAGCTCCCTAGTATTACACAGACACCACAGTGACCCCTGTAGTAGTTGAAACAAACTTAACTTTCCTTCTAAACTCCGCCCCTTGGATATTGTTGCTATGGTCCCACATAACAATAGCGTAAATGTACGTAAACATGTGCATTTGTGGGACGGCTTATTCCTGCCCCTGTTCTGATTGGTTAGTGTTGATGTGACACACCGGGAAGTTCCATTTCTCAACCCCTCCCTCCTCAAACTCATTATCGGGTCACCATGATCATTAACACTTAATTTTGCAATAATAATTTAAATAAGCATACACTGCCCCCCCCCCCCAAACTCATTACCTTATCACCATAATCAATACCACTTTCTTTTGCAGTACAGTAATAGTTTAAATAAACATACCACTGTGTCCCCCCTCAAACTCATTATCTTATCACCATGATCAATACCACTTTCTTTTGCAGTAATAGTTTAAATAAACATATCACTGTCCCCCCTCAAACTCATTATTGTGTCACCATGATCATTACCACCTTCTTTTGCAGTAATAATTTAAATAAATATACCTCTGTTATTATCTTTTGCAGTAATAATGTAAATAAACATACCACTGTTGTTATTAATATATTCTTAACATATGAAAAGCTTGCTGGAAGCCATCATTCTTTGCCAGTAGGACAGCACTGTATACTTTTTAAAATTTATTTTTTATGAATATTTATGTATGCCATTAGATAAAATGCTTGCTTGTCCTACTGTAGGTCGATAGATTTTAATTTTACTTGACGTCTAGATGTCCTCGTTTTGTTTTGTTTTGTTTTAGATTTATGATTGTTTTTACATTTATACATGCTTTTTTGTCATTCCACACTGTAATACATTTATTTAATGGTCCTACAGTGCACCAGGTCATTTAAATATGTTAGTATAAAGTACATCCAGGTTTATTTAATATTAGGTGGTGCTTGTACATTTAAAACTTGCCCAAGTCAACTTTGCCTTCTCGAATAATTTCTAAGTTGATGTTCTTGTGTTTTCCATTAACGATATGTAATTCAAATTTTACCTAAGACAGACAGTTTTTCAATGCAATTTTGGATTCGACTTGGGCAAGTTCAACTGTATTTACAACACAAATGTAATGTCAGTGTTCTCCCTATTGAAACATTTTTACTGGTAAATTTTCCCTTTTTTTGTGGGGTTTGAAAAAGACCAGCCTAGACTACCTAGGCTTTATCTGTTTTTTTTTTAAACTGGTAAAATTGACGGCTTCAGGAGAACACTGAACGTACTATACGGTATTGCTACATAACCTTTCCAGGCATTCATACGGGAGACTTTACTATTTTCTGGTTTTAATGTTATTACTTCTTGCCAAGCCCTTACAATTTTTCATTTCACATGGGTGGGTAAATTAAGCAATGGAAAAAAAAAATGTTAACCATCTACTACCTACAGTACACCAGAGAAGGTGTTTTTGGTAAATTAATAGACAGAAATGTAGAAGATACAACATTGTAAAAACATGCTTTAAATTCATTTACTGTAATAATCTTTTCAGTTCACTTTTAAATATTATATATAATACATATAAAAAAAGCAATGCAATTTGTTTATTGCTATATTTCAGTCTAGTGGTTAAATGACTGTATTTCTGGTGGTATTTTTAACCATGTTAGTAAAAAACTTTATGTTTGCCCAACACAACAAAATTGCAAGAACCATGGGTGCATGGGTGTAGACTGGGGGAGATGGAGGTATTCTTAATTTGTGCCCCCCCCCCAGCCGAAACAGACTACGCCCAGTGCTAATTAAAACGATAACATAGTAGTTGTATACAGGATGGAGATGTTGAATTGTATTCTTGGACTGTATAATCAGTTGTATTCTCAAATGTTCTAATATAGTTAATTTGCGTGTTACAATCATGTAATTGATCCAAAATTATATTTCAAGAAAATGTGAATGTGTTTGTTTTCTTTGATTACACTTATGGTATTTTGTATCTTTATTATTTTTATTTATTACAGTGTCCATTATCATGTGCCCTAACATTTCACTAATGAAAAAATAGCAATAAAAGTAGCAATATATTAAGAATAGTATTATTTACTGTATATAGCACATTTCTTCTATGCCATTCACACCAAATTATAAGACCAAAGGCACTATGATTTAACAATAATATAAGGTGTGGTGGCAAACAGTGCTAAGTCTCAAAATGGTCAGCCATCTGCTTTGCCCCTGGCACAATCCCGGTCCCTACCTAGGCGGTGCGAACAAAGGAACAGGCTTCACATTTGCCCTGCCACAGGGGACTGGGTGCTCAGCAGAATCTGCGACTAGGATATTGGCAGAGCAGGCTACTCCGATATATAAAGAAAGACAAGACATGAGATTCTGATGTGATTATTATAAATTACCATAAAACCTGCAATAGAAGCCTAATAACCTTAATTTCGAATTTCGAGACGCACATCTCAAATTGAAGCCTCCTCTTTAGTTTGCAAATGTAGCCTTGAAAAGAAGCCCATCTTGAGATAGTACAGTACATACACTGTACATGAATTTTGAAGTAACAGAGTAAATTAAAAACATGCTTGGTTATTACAGTAGTGATTTAATGCTGGTTAATACATCAGGATACAGATTGGTGTTACAGTGGCCCTATTTATTGCTTTATAGTAATAATTTCCAAAATTTACAGCACTCCTTTTGAAAAGAAGTCCCCCCTCTTTGCCAAAGTAGCCTAAAAAAGAAGTCTACCCAAATTTTGCGAAAAAAAGAAACCCGGGGCTTCTATTCAAGGTTTAGGTTTAGGTAGACCTATCATAATTTACTACAGTGATACAGTGAAAAAAATAACATCTGGAATTCGTAAATTAGTATTGATAATTTTAATTGCAATATCCACCTTTGGAAAATATAAATTAAAAGGTTAAACAATTTTCGAACACTTTCTTTTTGGTGTTTATGATCAATCTCTTAGCATAATATTAAAAGCAGTGAAAATATTTACAATCTCATTTTATCAATACAATAGAAATAATATTCTAAACATTTTAATAACTACTAGATTGAAATCTATAAAAAAAAAAACAGTTAATGTATATTAAAGAAATGTAGCATACTGTAGTAGTATGGTAGCTATTGGGCGCTCAGAGACAACTAAATTCATAGTCGCTGAAATTGAATACAGGTCTCCCTCTAATTAAAGACCACTTTTATTTTTTTCTAATTATTGATCAAAGCTGCTAAAGTCTGAAAACCCTGGTCCTAAGATTGGTTTTTAATTGTAGGTAGACCTGTATTATAATACTGTATTAGTAATTTTCATATTTCTCTACTTTTGCCTGTGTAGATTTGTGTAACACCAGCATAACAACTTCACCTGAAAAGCCTACAGCTAATATCAGCCTCCTCTATATTCAAAATATTCAGATGAGAAATTATATTTTTAGTTAGGCCTTGTGTGTGTAGATATGTGTATACATAATTACACAGCCATCGGAGATATTAGTAGATACATTACATTTACAACTTGTTAAGTAAGCAAATTTGGTCAATGATAAAACCAAAGAACACCTGTAGAGACCGCAGATGCTATTAAATAATTTTTTAAATTAGGTAGAACCACACAAAGTATTGAGGCTTGCCATTCCAAAACCAGCGTACTGTCACTAAATGTTAAACTGAGTAATTAACATAAGAAAGTGGCAGTATTGTATACTTTAGTACAGAGAAGCTGTAATAATTTTACTCATAACTTTGGCAATAGTAAATCAATTCCAGTTACCCATCATTTTTTAGCTTATTATGTGGACAGTGGTGGCACTACTGGGTGGGGAGGGGGTTAGGGAAAGCTAGAGCCCCACTGTCAGGGAGAAAAACCACAATTCGACAATTCGTTGGGGGGGGGGGGGAATAATTATATGTAATTTCTACATATTAAAATAGATTAAATAAGCATTTCAAAACATTAAATTGCCAAATTGTTTTTTTTTTTGGGGGGGGGGCATTGCCCCCTGGACCACTTTACATATTTTGAGCGAAGCCCCACCATGTCCACTTTGTTCTCGACGGGGACATCAGCCCCCCCCTCCCCATTGGGAAAATCCTGGCGCCACCCCTGTATGTGGAGAATATGGATATATCAAGAAGTTAATTTTCATGTTTTTGTCACTGATGCTAATTTAGGCATGGCAAGCCCCATTTGAAAAAGTTAGTATATAAATATATTTTTCTTTTATTTTCACTTTTCTAGATCTAGGCACCTACTAGTAAGTGTTGAACCTTTGAAATACAACAAGGGGGTGAAACCCTTCCATAGCAACATCAACAATACCCTTATAAAATATTGAATTTGAATCCTATACCATTGGTAATACAACCTTGAAGAATCTAAAGAAACATTAATTAAAGCATTGAATTGCCTTTTGAAAATTACTATTCTAAATAAATTATCCAATGAGATGGATATCAAAACAATTAATTTTAGCTTATTAAGTACAAAAATCCTTAAATTGATTACCAGTCAAAGAATATAGTTTAAATATTATTTATATATCTCTTAATTGGCAAGAAAACAATTTGTTCTAGTCCTAATTTTCAATTTGAAGCTAATAAATAAGTAACTACAAAGTCATCAATATTATATATTGAATTCTATTTATAGAGCTTGATACTAGGCACAATTACTGTTAATGTAAAAGAAGACTTTCTCATTTTATCATAATTTGTTTCTGTTGTCATTGTTTCCATTCTTGCAATTTTAACATGAAGTCTGATAGTTCACCAATAATAAATATTTTATTTGTGACTGTATATATCTTTTGAACTTTTTAGTTCTTAAATAAGAATAAAATAATTTAATTAACAATGAAACAAACAAATATACTAATATATACCATTATTGTAAGAAGCAAATTGTAAAGTTCAATAAACAATTAATCAAATATTAGAATCCCTATTAACAATTAAAAAAACAAAATTCAATCTTGAGGTGCATAATCTAAATGTTAGGAAATATAAAAAATTCAATTCATGGAATTAAAGATGCAAGTAGCAGTCATTCCTAGTGTAGATTGAGCAGTTCCTCTAAAGCCCTCCTTCTTAAACTATGGGCCATCAAAATATTTCTGAGGGTCGTGACACTGCTTCTGACTTAAAATTAGGTAGGAACATCTGCCATGGCTATCAAATTATATTGGCATAGATTTCTAAAAAAAAAATAAGCAAAAGTCAGCATGATTTTATTGAGCTTGTGGCAAATTTTGTAGGCCTAAGCAGGGGTGGAGCCAGGGGGAAGGCCCCCATCGGACAGTGCTGCTACCCCTGGGCCTAAGTAATCAAAACATAGCATGGCAAGCAATGTGGTGACTATATATGTTTTGGGTCGTGAAAGAGTAGGGAGTCTGAGAGTAGGTCGCCACCCCAAAAAGTTTGAGAAGCAGGGCTCTATAATAATAATAATAATAGTGTAGTTTTATATAGCACACATAGCCATCTAATGTAAGATGCTCAGGGTGCTTGATATGTGGACTAGGAAATCGATCAACTATAAGTATAATGCGAGTGATGCTCTTTGTAATCTCAGTGGCACTGCATAAGAGTGTAATGGCAAGTGATAATGAATTTGGAGTGTCACTCTTTTATAGTGTAGTGCAGAATGAGCACTCTTATCACAGTGACACATATAATATACTATAGTATAATGCATAGTGTAATGCGAGTGACACTTTTTCATAGGGTAGTGTACACCCGGGGAGGTCACTTGCATACCAACCAAACAGGGGGTGCCGCAGCCACTTGCGCTACCTATTTTACTGAAAATTCTTATGGACTTTAACTAATCGCACTGTGCTCTAAAAGACAACAGGAAAAAGGCCACTCAATAGTGCCAGAGAGATCACAATATTTACTGGTTCCTGATGGCAAAAAGTGTTCCGTCCGGTCGTGATCTCGTGGCTGTACCAAAGGTAGGTTTAGCAATTGGCTTAGCATCTAGTCTAGCTTGACATTCCCGCTAACATTGTGCGGAAAATCGTGGCACTTTGACACAGAATAAGCCAGGGACTTTCTACCAATTTCACTTCGGCTATTTCCCATACTTGTGCTACAAAGTCCTCGCAAGTATACCCTATAAATGCTGCAACTCCCTCCATATTTCCCACACTTGCGCTAACAAGTCCTCGAAAATATACCTAGTAAATGCGGCACCTCCCTGTACAGAAAAATTTAAGAGTGAGCCCCACAGGTTGTACAGTGTAGCACACTCTCAGTTACCTCAGCAGTGACACTCCATAATATTGTCAGTTCAGTCCGAGTGACACTTTTTCATAGTACAAAAAGACTGACACTTAAGCGAGTGGTACTCCTTATTGTAAAACTCCTTATTGTAAAGTAATTGGTAATCCTACTCCCTTGCATTGTAAAGCGATGGTCAGCGCTTCCTTTTTTCGACTACTCTGAGTCAATTGCGGCATTTAATCTTACGTACGGTCTGGATTTGGAATGGAAAGGTTTGGAGTGGCACCGACATGCACACTGGAAACATAACAGAAACATATTGCATAGAATACTTAGTGCTGCCACACTGCTCATAATCACAAAGCCAATGTATAAGTTTTCATCTTGGTCGGTGTGTACCGCAGGTTCTTCTGGCTTCTTAACCATTTCCTTCGATAAACATGTTGCAGCTGCAGGAAAAGAAAAAGTTTTGTTTACCAAGAATATCTTGAATAGATTATCACAATTTTATTTTATTTAGAAAGTCTGTAATCCATTATTGTAAGATAAATGTAAACAGTGAAATATCCAAGGGGTGCGCGGGAGGGGGTACACCCCCAAAAAAGCTTGTTCTCCCAGTCGCCTTCCTCATTGAAAATTTTCGAAGCAAATACATCATGCTCAGGTAGTAAAAAATCACCTTTATCACCTTTTTTGTGACCGACTGTCCCCCACCTAATCATCAATCCCCCACTTCATCATTGTGCCCCCTTCCCAATTTTGAGACTCCTAGATGCCTCTCTCACAAATTAATATAATTAACATTAGGCTCACATTACAGTACCCTACATTAGAATTCTAACCTATCTACCCTCTCTCCACCTCATGAGATCACCGAGTAATATATAGAGATTTTACTCACTTTGGAGAAGGTAGGTGTTGTCATCAGTGCTGTTATTTGAGTTGTCGCAGTTGCCCGTCACATGATGGCAGAAGCAAGACTGTCCGGGACAGTAGCACGCCTCTTGACAATTGTGGCCATAGAATCCAACTGGGCAAACTATAATTAGGGGTGTATGGAAAATAATGTTCAAAATCCATAATGTAAATTTACAGTAGGTCTTTGTAGATCTCACGTTTTGATTGGGCTCATGGAGACTTGTGGTTTATGTCATACAGGATCCATCTGTCGGAAAACACTCTACACTCCATTGGAGCCAATTCTTTAGTCAGAGAACACTGCTTTAAAGCAGCATTTTTACAGTCTCAACATGCCATTACACGTCATTTAGAGGTACCTATTCTTAAAATTTACACCAAGCATGGTGGGGCTTTGGTGAATGTGGACCCCTGTTGGGGAACAAGGACACTTAATTACTATCTTGTATGCATTTTTATTTATTATCTGTACGTTTATGGATTAAGTTTAGTTAAGGCTGGGAGGCCAATTATTATCCACTAGCCATAATGACTATGTAGCTATCTGGCATCCCCAGCTAGCCTACTGTTTACAAAAGTTTCATAAAATAAAAATAAAATAAAACCCTCGTCTTGGGATTTTTGGCACCACCACTGTATGACCTTTGCCCTCATCTTTGTTTTATTTTTACCTTCAAGGGAACAAGGACACTTAATTACTATCTTGTATGCATTTTTATTTATTATCTGTGCGTTTATGGATTAAGTTTAGTTAAGGCTGGGAGGCCAATTATTATCCACTAGCCATAATGACTATGTAGCTATCTGGCATCCCCAGCTAGCCTACTGTTTACAAAAGTTTCATAAAATAAAAATAAAATAAAACCCTCGTCTTGGGATTTTTGGCACCACCACTGTATGACCTTTGCCCTCATCTTTGTTTTATTTTTACCTTCATCACAGAAAACACCACGATAGCCTGGAAGACAGTGGCACTCCCCTGTTGTCACCTCACAAGCAGCACCATTACGACATTCACAAATGCCCTCACAACTGGTCCCATAACGACCCATGGCACACTGGGATATACAGAATGGAGGCTCCCAGCCAGCCTCACAAACACAGCCACCTGAAATCAATTATAAAAGAAATTATTAATGGAAAATTTTATGTATACTGTAATATTCATGTAAAAAAATATATTATATATTATTTTATTCTCCCAGATCTGCCCCTAGGGTAAGTGTGTTGGGGGTGGAGGATGTATGTACTGTATGTATATGCAATTTGTATCCTGGGCATGATACGTATACTTCAATCCACCTTATAATAATAATATATCCCAGAATAAGAAAATTAGTTCATACCGAATTAAATATTATTATCGATTTGTGTACAATGCAGTACACTGAATTAAACTGTTTGCAGTTTAAGTCAGTGGGAAAAAACAACCCCCCCACCCCCTTTCCATTAGGGAAAAAGCCAGTCATTTCGTCATGGAGTACTGCATTTTTAAGCCCTGTACCGACTAACAAAATTTTAATTGACAAAAACATTCGACATCATGTCATGACCATATATAGGTACACCATGATCATATATAGGCACATCATGACTATATATGGGCATACTACAAAGAAAATTTTATAATGTATACAGCTGGAGCTTAACAGTCTATAATATAAATTCTTTTAAAAGTCCTCTTACCACTGGTACATTGTCCATGGTTGCTGCAGTTATTCTTGCCGCAATAAAGCTGATCACATCCAGCACCTTTCCAGTTCTCATGACAACGGCATGATCCAAGCACACAATCACCATGGTTACTGCAATTTGTTGGCTTGCATTCTGGCTCGTGAGCACAGACAATTGATGAAACCTGACGACCACACTGATATCGTGGACTGGAACTGTAAAATGAAATTTTGTTATAGCATTATTTGATTGATTATTATTATTATTATTATTCAAAAATGAAAATGGTTATGACAGTAATGATAACTAGACTTAAAGCCCCATTCCCGGCAAAATTTCAATTTTTAATAAAAATCTAATTTTTGTATAATGTTATAAAGATT